GTTGAGCAAATGTCTCACCGTTTCTTTCACTATTGTAGCTTCATACAATACTCGTGATCTTTATGTTGGCCAAATTCCTGGTTCGGTTACTCGCGATCGACTTCAACAACTCTTTCCTCAAGCTACTTCTATTGAATATCGACAGGGCATTATTACGCGCGATCAAGTCAAACTAGGGTATGAAATACATAGAAGTATTAATTACCGCTATCTGTTTCTTTCGTTAATACCAGATTTGCCTTTCTCCATTACGCTGATATCCAGTCGGCTGCCCAGGTGATGAAATATGCAGACAGATATCATATTGACAATCAACTTCTCTCAATCTCCTATAAACTGTTCAATAATACGGCCATTGCGACCAGCTACAACGAATAATCATGATCAGACGATACATTCTTTAGAAATAGATGCAATCATCAGTTGCATTATTATTTTCTGTATGCTAACAATCGATGAATTTTGCATCTCAGTCATGATTCACTCTGCTATACATTTATGCTCAACAAATAGAAGAAGAAATGCGTTAAAATTACCAGGCCCAGATTTCGATCCTTCTTAGAGGATCTTATCGAATAATTCGAATAATGAAACTTTATTTTACATCTGTTTCAATAATGAAAGGAAGGAGTAGTTGGTTATTTTTTTTTCTTTTTAACTTGTGCCTCTCAAGATGAAAAAAGACTAAAAAATAAAAAATATTTTGTTTATTTTGTAGATTTTATTGTCAACTAGTTTAGGTGGACTTTAAAAAGCCGCCTCTACCAGATCTACAAAGGAACGGAGAGGACTTTAAAATGAACAAACAAAACAAAGGAACTCTCAGGGACTAAAGGGCCACTTGAAAGTTTATCATACAAGGAAAACAAAAACAAAAATTCACCAACTCTCTCGAGTCTGGGTGTAAATGTGGATGGGTATAGATAAAGAGGAGGCCCACATCCACACCTGCGCCTACATTCGCGTCCACACTCACACGCACACCCGTTAGGAAATCGCTCATTTATTTCAGATATTTATTTTTAAATGCACAGGACAAGCTGAGGGTGTGGATAAGACGGAGCTCCAGAATCGGATGCAATTCTGGAATGGGACGGAATTGATTCCGCAATGTGCAATATCGTGGACTAGGATGTATTCTCACTTTCATATAAAAATGTTGACTTAGAAAAAAAATGAAATATAATTATTTTGATAATACCAGCCGGTTATATATATTTATAATTTAAATAAAATATTATGTACTTTGATGACCCATTAAAATATCAGTGTACTAGATGATTGGAATAGAGTAGAAGAACGAATTTGTAAAATAATCAATCGTTAGAAAAAAAAAGAAAGAGTATATTATGTAAGATTTTTTTCTTCTATACTTATTGATCATAACCAATAACTCGCAACGATAGATTTTGGTCATAAACTTCTTATATAACTTCGTTATCTTTTAAGCTTCTACTTTACATATCATGTTCATAAAATACAAGTATACTATCTAGTAAAAATACTTAACAAGGCAAAAAAATCAATAAAGATAAATATTTTCGAATTTTTATATATCTAATGATCGAACTTCATAATCAAAATAAAGTTCAAATAATGTTTGTTTACTTGTATGAGATTACTTTAAGAATTAACAATAATGATATGATCTAAACCAATACATAAAAATTATTTTTCAATTTATTTAGAGTGTAGGTGTGGATGGAAAGGAGTCTCAAATCCACACCCACACCCTCACATCCCTACCAATGACTGAATATCACCAAAAGCCAAGATACTACCACCAAACATGCACTTTATCTTGAAAAAGTTCAATAGAATAGTTCACGAATAGTTTCTCATGATCGATCATTACTTGCAATTTTTCAACTATTTCTGCCGTTCCATACCACAAGTAGAGCGAGAAGTGATGATGACGACGAGCGTCGCTGAAGACTGTTGCAGACAACGATCGTATTATCAATTCCATATTGTCTTCGGTTGTGGCCACTTCGAGAATTTCTATGCAAGGAAAGAGTCCAATGAACAGTTGCATGTCTTCACGTGTGCATGGACGACGACCGTACATGACGATCACTTGGATGATATTGTGAAACGTTGTACGAGTCTTTTTCACTTTTCTTGCTGACCGAACAAGTGTTGCCGCGTCAATTTCTAATGAGTGAATATTCGATAACTTGCGTAAGAGTCTAAGAATTGAGAAAATACTAAGATGTCTACATTGAATGTTTAATTCTGTTATTTTTTTGGATAAAATAATCCGATTGAAATTTTCAATGAATATAAACGAAGGTAATGGCTTGTGGCCATTTGGACATTTGAGTGTGATTTTAGTAATGTTTGGAAATCGATTTGAACAATTAACAATCGCCTGTTCACTTTCAATCTCAAGATGACGAACAGAAATGAGTTCCGAATCTGAACATGTGCATATCGAACTAGGTTCGAATTCATATAACTTATAATTTTTCTTCCTAAAAGAATATATAAATATCATAATCAGAAAAATCTTTTTCATCATATACCTGTAAGGCTCAATTGAATAGAACATTGAACAATCTTCTTGTCCTTCAATCTTAATATGTCGATGACCAAAGATCCATTGTCGTTCGAGCCAGAATAGTCCCATGAATCGTTCAATTCGTGCATGATATGTCTTAAGTTTATTATCATCATCATAACGCACAAAATCCCAATGTTGAAAGCGGAATATTTTCAAGTATGGCATATAATGTAAAATCAATCGTTCCCAACGATCAGCATCTAAGTAATCATGTGTCTTCATTAAGTAATATCTATCATCACTTGTTGAAATATGCAACACCTGTATTAGAGTGAAATATTGACTCAAAGCCATTTCGAATTGATCAAACGGTACATTCCATAGTTTGAGAGAGATATGAGTTAACTTGAATTGCACCATCGGTAATTCTGTCAATGAACGTTTACATGCAAATAGTTTATCACATGTCAGATGGCGAAGTCGAGGCGTGTAGGAGAGAAGAGCAATCAGATTGTCAAGGTGATAGAAACTATTCAGAATAAGATACTCGATGAGGTTGCTCGGCTGCTGTTTGATACAGTACGACGGTGAGCTATTCCCACCATACTGATTCAATGAAAATTTGCCAAATTTTAATGCTGGCAAGTAAAAAATCAATGGATAGACGATATCTTCTTCATATATACCTTCAGAAGTAGTGATAGTCAAAGAGATGAGACAAGGCAAAGAAGCTAGACAGGTGAGAAGAGGCACGAGTGCGTCGGATTTCATGTTATTCAATGTAAGTGATTCGAGAAAACCGTATGATGCGTCGAAACCAAACGTCGGAAGAATGAGATTCATACTGCATGGATTTGATAGAGAAAGTGCGATTATTCGATGAACGTTAGGCTTGACAATGGACAGAAAACGATGTTGAAAATCTGATTTCGATGAAAATGAGAAATGGAGTTTGAGTGGAAGTGATGATGAATTGAGAAGATATTCGAAACGAGTATTGAGATTCGAAAAAGCCTCATATGCATGGCAACCGTCGAGATAGTCAAGAATTTCATAGAACACTTCATTTGGTAGATCTTCAAAATGACTGATGAATAATCTACTCGAGATCAAGAGAAAAAGACATGAAAAGAAAAATAATGATTGAATGATCGTTTACTAACCGTTCCCCTTCTCTACGTTTTGATTCTACCAAGTTCATTTGATCTTCGATCCAATTCATGTAGACAACTGTAATCTACACAACAAGCAGAAGATCAAATGAGTTGAACACTGGTCTAACACAATTTTATTGATGACAACTAGCAACGGATCAATCTGGATCAACGTTTTACGGCTCTGGCTTGTAGCCACCAATATTAACAATTACTCTATTGAAAAATAAAAAAAAAAGTCCTGTTAGGTATGAAAAAAAAAGATACTTTTCAAAAGATTCTTTTTTGGAGTTTGAACTATCTCTTATTCGTTTTCGATTTCCTATTTGACATTGAATGCAATTCTTTTTCTTTTGAAGGAGGAATAAGTCAATGTCTTTTTAATGAACAATCACTAATTTCTATTATTTTTCGTCTTATTCTCAGAATGGAAAATGATTTTTTTTCTTGAGAAGATGGATGAAAATGTTCAAATCACCACTAGATCATATCTATGAGTTAGTGTTCCGAAAAAAAATTGGAATAATTCTTTTTAAAAATCTTCAGTTAAAGATACATACAAAAAATATCGATTATATTGAATAACATATTATTTGAAATCATACGCAATTGTATGAATAATTCTATCTTTGTATAATGCTGTCTTACCAATAAGAAGACCTTTACTGGCATATGAATAGACAAAAATTTGTCCTATTCTGTATGCATTCCATCATATGGCACAGAAACAAACAGAAATAAGCAAAAAAATAAGCGGATGTTGGATAATATCTCCATAGACTATGTATTGGTACTGGTTAATGGGAAGAAAAGTACGGTAAGGAGAGAAAGAGCTGAAAGGAATTGCAACCGATACAGAATGAAAAAAACAAGGAGAAAAATATGCAAGAATATAGATGAATAGAACATTGACTAAATACTCCTCTGAATATAATAATTGTTCCTAAGTATACATAATTGCTGAGGATCAAAGTATTCGAATACTGTTCACGATTTGTGTTCGTGACTGTTCGATAGTTAAAATCAAGTTTCATTTTTATGAAAGAAAATTTCTTAGAAGTATAAAAAAAAAGGCATTTTCAAGAAGCTTATTATTAAGAGAAAACGTCTCATTGCAAAGAACGAGAGCATGCAGTTAATTAGTATTAAAAAATCTTTTTTATTTTTTTGAAGAATAAAAACTATAACAGTTTTCGATAATATTCACATTTTAGACTTAACTTAAATAGTTGACGAAAGATGATAATAGTAAGAAATACTTTTATTGACGATTTCGACAACTCTATCACTCAAATTCAGAACCAAGTCGATAGAGTTCAAACATTTCATATATCCATCTAAAACTATTACTTGTGTACATGTTCGATGTTAGCTTAAATGCTAGAGTCTTCCGTAGTCAATGAAGATCGTGCATCGTTACCAAAGCAGCTATTTTATGGAAATTTTATTTATGACATTTTGCGACGATAAAAAGATACAACGACATGAAACTTTGATTGAACATGATTTATTATATTGATTATTAGATAATTTTACTACAGATTAATATATTCATTTGTCTTTTTTCTCTAAATCTCAGATGTTCAATTTCGTCAATTAATTGTTGGTATACTATATCAAATGTTGTCTTAGAAAAATTAATAGAATTCAATTTCGTTGTTAAAAGATCTAACCAATCAAATAGCTTAAAACTTTTGGCGACTTAAATGGGTTACATTAAACGGGCACATTTTGTTGCATAGTTTATTTCACTATGATACGTATTACTTCTCTGATAAGTATTTGAGAGAGACATAGCGTTAAGAGCATGACCAGTAATATATCGTTTGTCAATTCAAACAGGAAAAAAATCATCGGATGTTAGACATTCGTCAAGTTCGTATACCAGTTTTCGGTCGGCATACTCATAACTGAGCATAATATCAAATTTGAATCGACGAGAACTGGTATTTACAGCATTTGACATTTGTATGTGTACTAATCGATCGAATGATTCAGTTTTTGTCACATTTTTATTGAATTCTCATTTGACGATTGATTTTGTTCGGGCAAATAATTGGTCTCCGTTTTTGATTGCTAAAGAAGGTCTTCGCTTGTGATAAAAACTGGACCTTTATCTCTATTCTCTGAATAGATTTGTAATACGTTAATAAGATTTGAATCTTTTTTTAGTATGTTTGCAGTGTTCGTATAAAACGATATTGACCACAAGATGTCAATAGTTTTGTGCATGAGAGCAGTCGATAGATTCGATATTGTCACGCACCAGACAAGAATGAACAAGTGTTCTGAATTGGATAGTTCAATTTTGGCTTGATCATATTGTACGAGAACTAATTTGATTGACGAAGCACAATTACAAATATCTTTGATCAATTCAACATCAACTTATCTTTCAAATTATCGAGCAAAAAATCGATAGAGATAGATCCGAAAGAATGATCTGATTCTTCAATTGTTTGTTTTAAATTCTTCATTAGTAATTCAATTAATGTGTTCAAATCTTTGTATTCACGAACAGTTCGTTCATCCATTCTATGCGCGATGATGCCTGAAGCATAGAACTGTACAGCAGAATTATTAGTGTGTCGAAGTCGTTCGAATATAGTTTGAATTTGATTCGGTATCAGCATTATCCGACGAGGTGTTCCATCAAAGTCATTGACTTTTGATAATTCAATAATGAAATTCACCAAAAAAAGTACGATAAGAATGTATGAGTACTGATATTCTCATCGATTGATAATAGAAGAGCAAGTAACTGATCAGTACATGTTTGATTGAGTTTAATCGAATTTATAGTAAGGATATTGATAAAATAAGCAAAAGCTATAACAGCAAGATTGTGACAATGTTTATTAACGAAATTTTTAAACAATTGCTCGACATTGATCAATGATATTGAAATTGGATTAGTCATTTAGACGAAGCGTATGAAATACTTTCACATAGTGTTTTGAATTCAGACATTTTTTGATTGATATAAGCAATATCTCTGATCGAACGAAGAGCTTGAATAATGTGTACAATTATATTATTCATCTGTTGAAATTGCATCAATTTCTGGATCGAATGATTAACATTTGATTGTGCTTTTTCAAGACTCGATTTGATTGACCAGTATTGATAGCGATGTCTTTGAATTATGGAGACTAACGTGTAAGGTTTTTCTCTAGAATACGAAGTTGAAATAATTATGAATAACAATGAATATATAAAACTTACATTTTTTCTTAGACCTATTTTGGTTTTTTCACGTAAACCATTGGTTTCAGCTTTGAGACGTTGATCAAATTGTTCAAAATCACCCTTAGTTACATCAAGACATTCGATATTTTCAACGACTTTTTTTAGCCATCCATGTGAACGATAATTAATTTGAATAATCACAAGCATAGTTATACAATGAGTACGATAGACAAAAAGCATCACTTGAGTTTGACAACATGTCGTCTGTTCATTGTGATTTGACATGCATAGAATCATATACATGGGGTTTACAAATAATTGGTATCATACTATTCATACTTGTCATGCTTGTTTTATCCTTTTAATTAAATTCAATAATCACAATATTCTAAGAAAGATTGTAACTGTTGACAAATATTTTAGTATGGCATAGCATGACTGAGAATAATATGGCACTTAAATTTTCTCTAGTTCTCATCGTCATTCGACGAAACATTTTTTTCATCAATATGATGTCCTCTCAAAAGTTCACTTTCTTTTTCAAAGCTTTCAAACAATACTGTCGATGGTACGAAGATATGGATTGAATACATCAGCTGAAATCGATTCTTGCTGATTTGTAGTTATTCTGACTCTATTCTTAATATGTACAATGAAGGTTGTATTGCTTCTAAGAGTATTCGCTATTCGCTGGCATCCCACTCAGTCTCTTTTTCCTCCTTTTCCTTTTTTCTTCTAAAATTCCTCTTTTTAGCCTCTTTTCTCACGAAAAAGTAGCTTGTTGGCGAAAATATCCATGAATATATTGATTAATGTTACCATATCATACGAAAAGATCACATAACACAAACTGATGTGCCGATCAGTTGAGGTGTATAGCTAAGGAGGCTAAATCATATGATTTTAGTGAGCAGCTTCAGTAATGTTATATATCCCAAATTGGGATCCAATTTTTATAGCTCTCTAGTGGAGACAAAATCACTCAATTGTATTTCCAATGTGAACTCATCATTCTCTCACAATCTTGGCAAGTTTTTCCGGTAAAGATCGACATGTCAAATGATAATATCGGTTTACTTTTCTTGACTGTTTTTCTCAGCCCCAGGGAAGCTTATGATGTGAATCTAACAATGGATAGCTAACTCGTAGCGTAACGTATGGGTCAAAATGAGAAGAAGTTTCCATGGTGGCTAGATCTATCCTAGAATCCTGTCGGATTCGATAGAATTTCTTCGACAAGATAGCTTCTGATAGTATGATGTCGTAAGTTGAAGATTTCTGCTTATCAGATACTGATAAAAGTTTTCATGTTGTATCCGACAATATCTGATCCTTCAAAATGACTGGGTTGATTAGAGATGCTGTAGTATGTTGCAAGATTACCTTACGCTATTGATTTACTATCAAAATGAAGTAATCTCTCTCCATCCGAGCTTCTCCGTATACAATTACATTTTAGACGATCGTATATCTCTAAACTGTACACGGAGAAATAAAATCGTATACGACGAAATACAGAGTAAAACGAAAGCCGTAGACGAGCTTTGTTTGTCCATAAACGATCGTATTTCTGCGCATACGATCACGGAATTATACGATCGCAATACTGGGCGATGTGAAACGCCGTATTTTTTCGATTACAAGCGTGTTTGCTTGACATGAGTTAATATTGACGATGGTTTGATGATACTTGGAAGAAATCGGATATGATGGAATACAATAGCAACAAACAGAAGCGTCTCACTGACCAAAAAACAGAGGACCATACAATCTACCCAATAAAAATAAGTCGTTTTCTACAGAACGCAGGAAGATGACCATATTTCACTGGGAAAAATCAAGAGTTTTCGATAGCACGGGGTCAAACAATTTCTTACAAACCCGCTGTCTGGGCACCATTGTAATCAATGTATTAATTTACACTGGGTAACGGAAAAGTAAAACTGACTTGCGAAAAATGATTAAAATCATGGAAGAATTGCTGAAAATTGAAAAAAACGAAAAAATACCTTTCTCATATGCACAGTCATCCGAAAAAAAGAATAAAAAGCAGAAAAAAAACATTTAATGAATTTTGATCGTTTCTATTTCTGTGTGCCCACTTAGTGAGAGAGTAATATTATAGTCAGATACTACGCAGATAGCATAGTCTATTTTTCTAATGTTTTCTCGTTTTCTAATGCATACATAAGAAATTGCACAAAAATCTCTATGAACAATTGAAAGTTTCGTTTCTTTTTTACTCTTTCAAGTCATATTCAACCTATGTTGATAACGTATGAGTTTTGTCGGATTTATAGTGCTATTGTGCCACTGAGTTTTAGTTTTCTTCGGACGAAACTTTATGCCTCTTTTTCTCCTCTTTTTTTTACAAAGTGTTGGTGGAATACCAATATTTTTCATCACTGCATTTCTTTTCTCTTCTTTATTTTTCTTTATCTTCAGTGTGATCGCAAAACACGAATGAATCGTTTGTTTATTTTTCTGTTGTTTTACCTAATGTGAGAGAATAGAGAGTAAACCAGGAGAAAACTAGCCGACATAGACTAATAAATTCTTCCAGTTTTTTTATTCAGTTTTCTAGCACAACAGCAAGCATTTAATTGCTAAGAATTTTAAGCGAATATGAACGTTTAAGACGAAAGCTTTCAGTAACTTCTCAGTTTAGAGTTCTAAGCTTGAGCTAGTTGACCAACTTCACTTATCGACAATTCACGAGAAAAGATCTTCAGTTCATCAATCTTTCCTCGAAATTGAGATGGAACAATTTGCGTTTGACCAAAAGCGCATGTATTCGGCTGCAGACAAGTTCCAACAGTAATTGTATTCATTTGATTACTAGCTGTATAGTTACGAGAACTATTATTACGAATTGCAAACGAGCCATTAACAAAGAGTTGGATACCATTTGCAGTTGAATAAGTCATACTTACATGAGTCCATTGATTTAATGGCAATGTTGGAGAGGTTAATGAAGTAGCATAGATGGCATTAGTGTCTAATGTTTGAATTGTTAAGCGACCAAGTGCATTGAAACCAATCATTGGCACACACCAACCATTCGAAGAGCTGACCTAATTGATTAACATAGATGAGAAATAATATTTTTATGTGGATAAATATTACCTGAAGAATGGTGCCATTGTTGGCGTATGGATAAATCCACAATGAGAATGAGTATGGATAGTTTGATTGACCAAGATAATAAAAACCTGTTGTTTGAAAGTAAGATACACTCATTGAATTAATCAATAAGGCCTGACTGACTCTACCAACTGCGTCAAAGCTGGTCAAGACGTTAGTACCATTATTGATTTGATTGAGACCGAAATCAGCATATGAGTTATCGAATGGATAATACGCAACAAGGGTGGCTTCATCGAGAAGTTCACCGGCATTTTTAATGCGTGACACAAATGTTAATTTGTCAATAAAACCATTGGTAGAAGAGAGCCAAGTGAATACTGGTACTGCTCCCATAGTTAGTAGGCTTACATTGCCTCCGTATGGATAGGAAGGTACTCGACTTCCATCCAGAATTCCATTTAAATAAACTAGTTGTTTGGACGAAAAACGATCGTAGACATAAGCAACGTGATGCCATCTGTTTGTACTCAGTATGGTATTTCCTGTTAGATCATCACTGTAGAAACCCAAATAGAGTTTTCCACTGTTTATTACTATGTGAAGACACTTATCTGGATAACTACTTTCGCAGTGACCAAATAACACGAAGAAATAGCTACTCAGCGAGATATTGTACGGGAGCCAGATCCAGGCAGAAACTGTGAAACTGGTCAGAGTTAAATCAAGAGAATGATTGACGACAGAATAACTGCTAGATGAAAAGCAAACGGCACTTCCATATCCAGCATAGCCTGGTGACATCCACGTAGTACCAGTGCTATTGAATAAATACCCATTATAACGACCGTATACATCATTGAGATTTCCATCGAATAACCACTCAATAATAACTGGTGGATTGCTTGGGCCTAAACAAATTAAACTCGTCAATCACTTATAAAAACAGCTTAGGTTCGATTTCTTTTCTGCCCTATCAACAGCGTTTCTAGACACAGAACAAAAGGATTCAGATAGGTCAGTTTCAAATAAAAATCAATTGGAATCGATTTCACAAGTCAAAACCGGAATTGATCTTGCCACTTTCTTGTGTTATTCGAGCCATGTTGTTACCAGCTTCGCTCTTACAATGTATCTTCTTGTTTTCATCCTTTACTATTTTGTCCTTGATTTCATATAGACCGACATTTACTCTTCTCTTTCTCTTTTCCTTCGATATAATATCATTCTTTTTGTTCGATGTAATATCTTTCGATCACTTTATCTTCACTTGGTTGTATCCATTTTTCTCTTTCGCTGACCCTAGATGTCCGAGATGATATACATATATGCGCGTTTCTCTCTATTCTAGTTGATTTGATATAGTGTAGTTGTTGTGTACGTGTGTGTGAGAATATTTTTTTTAATTTAGTAGAAATAAAAGAAGAAGATCAACAATCTTTTCCCCCTAACGCATAAGAAAGAGGAGCCCAGATAAGTTCTACACTGATCCGAGCATCATCATCTTTTGTCCTTGCAAGAATGGAGAAAACGCAGCGCGAATATAACTGGCTAAGGACTTTTTCTATCAGTCAATTAGATTTCAACAAAAAGGCTTCTTCATTCTTGTAGAGACGAAATATATTGTTATTCGATCCAATCTGGAATTATCAGGGGACCTTCTCTCATATGGTCCTAACAACACCACTCGTAAAAATTTCCGCCAAAGAAAGATGGTCGGGACTGAGTAAACCAAATTACGAATTAACTTTTTAAATTCTGAATGATTGATTGAGTCGTGCTAATGAACTTAGCGTGAAAGAACGTAATTCGAAAAATATTTAATGTATTTGTTCACACTTGATGATATTTCACATTGGTGAACAGTGGAATGGGAATCATATGGATGATATCAGTAATAGATCTGGTCTCCAAGATTCATGGTCACAAAACGAAATTCAGAAGAGGTATATGTAAACAATCGACTTTGTCATTTTACCCCTCTTAATCAATTAGCAATGGCATAGTTTGATTCTTGGCCTATGATCAATGATGGCATTATTCTGTCAAGTTTTAATGGCACTATATCATAGAACCCAATCGGTTTCCTATGCTGGGATGTTATCGTGTCCCTATATTGGAACCTGGCCGCGTTCGCAATATCAGGAGTCCAATTGTGTTTCTGTCGCTCAGTTTTCGACAATATTCCCATAGGACTCAACCGAATCCTGTAAAATTCCGATAGAAATTCGATCAGATTCGACTGTTCGTTTGATTCTCCTCGATATTTGCGATACTCTTTACATAACTTCGCAAATATATCGTTATTGATACATGATGTACTGTCAGTGAAATAGTCATCTACTCGTATTAGGAACTATTTCCTTCTGTCTGGATTGTCATTATTCTTAGATCTTGTTGTTTAGGAATTACCTAAGAGTATCTCCGAAAGAAACTGATCCTTTTTACCGATACTTTGTAAAAGATTTTTTTCTTAAAGTCTGTTGAATTTGTACTAACCGGATGGTACTCGTGTTCCTGACATGACAATCATCGTAACAGTTTGCATATCCGCTGACGTGTCGCTATTTTGGTTCAGTACGAAGCCGAACAATTTACACTGAGAAGTTGATTGCTGAAAACTGGCTGCCCGACATAGTGGTTGAGCTAAACAAGCTATTTGACACCTGCGAACACTCGATGCAGTGACACTGACGAATGGTAAGCAAGTTGTGTTAGCACACTGAAATTGCCAGCCAGTCATTACAGACATTGTAACGGAGCGTATATCTTGTTGGATTGATTGTACAATTAGAAGAAACAGAAGCAATATCGACATTCTCATGCAAGCCAGAACCAACTAGACTTCAAATGAATGAAATGAATTCAATTTAGAAATGAAGCACACAGTATCGAGAGAATGATAAACTTCAGTTTAATTTTCTTTCTCTCGCTTCACACATGACATATTTTTTTCATTCCATCAATATTATGAAAAATAGTCACCCGTTCTTTTTTTTTAAAGTAATCAAATGGAGTTTCATTCTAAAATTAGTGTATATTCTGTTCTTCTTACTGAAAAAGAATCATATATTTATCAGGACCACTTTTCTTAATTCATATGCAACTCGAAGGTAAGAAAGTGCATGCCTTGCACTCTCATTCCATATAGAAAATCTAAATTGAAAAGGTTTGCACCGAAAAGAAAAAAAACATTTTACTCGAAGTAAAGTTTCTTAGTAGAATCAGAATCATTTAAACTAAATGTATTTCATTCTATGAATGTACAGTACTGTTAATGTGAAAAAAAAAACGTTTTAGCAAGTAGAAGAAGAAAAGGAAAAAATTTTTCATTGTTCTAAAGTAACTTGAATAATTCTTTGTCTCAGCAAAAGATTACACTGCTCTTTCTTCTACTCTGAAAAAAATGAGGTTCGGCAACACCTTTTTATGAGTTCTGCTGTCGGGTAAAACAGAACCCTCAACATGATTCTGCAAAGGAAAAGGTTCTCTATTACAACACAGTAGTACCATAATAATAAAATTTCGATAAGAAATAGTTTTGTGTAAAATATAACTATAATATTGGATTATATTTTCATCCATGTGTATTTTTGTTTTTAGTTGTTTCTTTGTTCTTCTCTTCTCTTCTCTTTCCTTTCTTCTTTCTTTATTCGTCTCTTTTAATAACTAATTCTTCATAACTATAGTACACGTAGTCTATCATAGGCAATAATAGTAGAATAATAAAAAAATCAAACAACTTCAGCAACTTTTTATTTCATCAATATACGGTTAAATTTCACCTACTCAAGACACAAACTGGACAGATGTCTTAATATATATTTATATGTATCTATGTGTGAAAGACTAGGCATTAGAAGAGACGAGGAGAGAAAGGAGAAAGGAAAGAGAAGAGAAGAACAAAGAAACAACTAAAAACAAAAATGCACATGGATGAAAATATAATCCAATATTATAGTTATATTTTACACAAAACTAGTTCTTGTCGAAATTTTATTATTATGGTACTAGTTGAATAGGGATGGAATAGCATAGAAAAATAGAGCTTCATTTTCTCTATCACCCTATAAAAAAATAAGATACCTTCACTACCATTTTTTCGTACTCCTAAATATATTTTTTGTATCCATTTTTTCTATTATGCAATTTTGATCTTTTAGGATTTGTATTCGGACGAATGTGTTTAGGTACCCACCAAGAATATCATATGTGTGGTTCAGCTTATCCTCTTACATGTGTTAATGTAAGACATGAAAGATATTTCAAACCATGTACATATCAATGTGTTCAAGGTTGCTTTTGTAAACGTTATTATATTTGAAGATCTCATTCAAGAAATCAATGTATTCTTGATTGACGATGTTAACTAAGTTTAATTTTCTTTAAACACAATTATATATATTTAATTGAAAAGTCTTATTACTCACTAAAAATATCTGTCTAAATTTTAATTATTTGATAGAAAAGAATAAATAAATAATGAAATGAAATGAAATGAAATAATAAACAAAGATTTCTACATTCTAATATCTTTAATAGAATTGATTTGTATTGATATAAAACATTTGTTTTCATTCAATAGAATCGTTCAAAATAAAAATAAAAACATGTATAAAAATGAAAATCATAGTCAAAATGTTAAAAAAGATTGAATTAGTACAAAAAAAAAATAAATAAATATTTTTTCATTCTATATACATCAGAGTTTTATAATTGAAAACTTAGAAAAAAAACAGAGAGAAATATTTTCAATTGTACTTTTCTATCGATAATGCTACTCTGAAATTCAGCATTTTAATGTTGTATGAAAAAGATCCATTGTTGAATATTATGTATACATAGTTTATAATACCATGAAAAATATAACCTTCTATTGATTAAATTTTTTAATTGCATCTGAAAAATCTAATTTTATTCGAAGATATTCAGAAAATTACATGTTAAAATATAGTTAGAT